CATTTTGCAACTGTTTTGTACGATTTACAGTATGGTTGAAAACTTTTTTTTTGGAAACGGCCAAAAATTCATGCGCGCGATGTCATCCATATAATCAAATCAACGTGGCCTAAGGGTCACACGAACAAACAACACAACATCTAGAACAGAATAGCAGATAATGTATATACAAATTAAGGGCCTATGGGGTATTTCCAAAAGTTACACCACAATTTGAATGATTCAAAATATATGAAACATCATGAACAAAATTGATACAAGAATTCAAAATTGCCAAACATGCTCACCTTTCTGTCCTCCTCCTCCCCTGCGTCAGCACATGGTTTGAAGCTGAGTTCGTACTGCTCTGGGTCCTGTGTGCGCTTGTAATGCCACAGGAACTCCAGCAGCTCCAAGCCCTGTGAAAGAGACATCCATTTTATGAGGGTTGTTCAAAAAGTTCTCAGCCTCATCCAAAAAAAACGTCATGGCAGAAAGAATATTAGTTATGGCATACTGTAGTACTGCCCATTGATGCTTTGACCCCTTTAGTAGTCATGTAGTCAATCATGATAACCCCCTTACTGTCCCAGAAAACAGAGGCCAAAACCTTGTCATAAATAGATGAATTTCCCTTAAACTTCTTGGGGGACTGGGAAACATTCTTTATCCATTGTTTGCTCTGCTGTTTTGATTCGGGGTGAAAGTGTTAACCTGTGTCTCATCTTGGGTGACAAATCATTTGAGGAAATTTCCTGGATTGGACAGAATTCGTTCCTAGAACACAAGCTGTACTCACTTTTGCCAGGTCGATTGTCCAGACAAAAGTCACTTTCTCCCGCTCCATGTTCACCTCCATGACAGACAGGATGAACCTGATGCGCTCGTAGTCATAGAAATTTATCTGTGGACACAGATAGTCAAATATTCAGTGATGACAATGTCTCTGTTAGAACAGAGTACAGTACAGTAGCACAAAAATCATTTTGGTTCAGGTCCAAAACACCAGAACATGTCAACATTGTACTGTGATAGGACATTGTACGCTGAAGTACATGTATGTAAGTTGACTTGAAATGTACCAGAAAATTTATCACTGGGAAAAGATGAGGCGCGGGCGAATAAAAAAAAATTCTGGCCAAAAATAAAGATGCTACTAAACCACAGGAATGCAAACCTAGCATTATGAATTTGTAGCAGTACATAGAATGTATACGACAAGCCGGCACACGCTGGCTTTTTGTGGAATTTATGAATCGGCACTGTAACGTGAGTTCTTGAGTCGGGGGCTTCGGTAGCCTGGGTGCCGTCCTCCAGTGTTACCACCGGCTCCGTATTGTCGCTAACTACCATGACTACCCAGGCCTAGAGCCAGAGCCTCGGAGGACATGATCTTTAGAACAGGCGAAAATCAATCTGCGCGTGGATGTCATCCATAATATTAAAGTCGGTGTGGCCTAAGTTGCAGTACTGACATACATCAGTGGTCGAAATACTTTTTTTTCAGTGCTCTGCAATATTGCAGAAGAGTCAAAATTTTGTTCTGCAATTTGGAAATACTTTCTGCAAACACACAAGCCTCTATACTACAATCTTGCAAGTTTATAAGCATGAACTATCAGGTCCAAAAGGAAACAAAAGATAAACAAGTCAAGACAAGGTTGATGTAAATTAGTGAAGAAGCTCCTGTTGTTTCAGAACAGGAGCTTACAATGTAAGTGTTGTCTGTACTTGGCGCCAAGAGCACCAAGTCCAAGTGCCAATTTTTCCTGCTGCAAAATTGCAGATTGTATAAATTTTTCTTCTGCAATCTTGAAAATCTATCTGCAGATTGCAGACTGCAGACAGGTATTTCGAACACTGTACATGTACACCTAACCTTGGAAACCAGTAGGTTAGCCATCCGTTTCAGCAGGATGTCTTTGACAGGAATCTGGTCGATGATGGGCTGGACCTTGCTGACACACTGTGAGGCATGCTGGATGTGGTCCTCCACTGTACTGGTGCCTGCCGGGTTCAGGGTCGGCTGCAGCAGGAGCAAGTACTCCAGGTACAGCAGCAAGGCATCACTCGGGTTCAGCCGAAATGTCCTAAGGATTGAGTGCAATTTTCCCAATCAAAGACAAATACATTCATTTGATAGTTTCCTTAGACCAGTACGAAAAAAATGCTGTCTTCCCGGTTTTCTGGCTAACTCTAGCAAGATCCGCAAGAGACATACCATTTGAAATCTGAATTTCAGATTGTCTGAAATGCTATACCCGGTATTTCATGATTTTCAGAACTGAGTCAACTGAAGTAAATATTTGTCCCTTCCCTTCCTAGATGGAGGGATAAATCCTGGAGACAGCCCTGGTCCTAAAACATTTTAGTTTTACACGTTTAAACTGAATTTCTTGGATCACAAACGACAATCTGAAAAAAGAAAGAATTGAAACCTACCAAGTTCCATTTTTCAAGATTGAAATTGGAAAGGTCCTAGGCCTTACAGATATTTGTACTAAACACTGTGAATTCTAACAGCTTATTCAGAAGTTCTGTTCAAAACATGTGCTCCTGTCTAACAGGTCCCCAGCTACAGTCACAGCACTTTTGTTTTTCATCAGTAGTTTTATCAGTCTAACCTGCAGTAGTCCAGGATCAGATCCAGGTCAGTCTGTTCGTTAGCGATGATGGTTGATAACAGCTTCTGTTTGGCTGCAGATTCATTCTGAAAGGCGTCTTTGAAGGAGATCTGGTGCAACAAAGAGAATATTATAATATATATAAGAAATCATTTTAACTATTATTATAACTAATAATTATCATAACTATGAAGGTTAAGATTTGCAAATACATAATATTTACCTTCACATGGTTTAGCCTAACAAAGTACTGCTCTGTTTATTCTTACTCAAACACATATATAAACATATGGTGACCAGCCCCTTTAACTCTGTCCTGTCACTTGCTACATAATGTAGTCCAACACCACATGGTGTCTGCTACAGCACTAGTTACCTTGAAGGTTAAGGCCATTGATCCCATTTGGTTGGAACGGAAGAGGGAAACAATTTACTGCTCTGTTTTATTCTTACTCAAACACATTCATGCATATGGTGACGAGCCCTTGCAACTCTGTCTTGCCACTTGCTACATAATGTAGTCCAACACCACAGGGTGTCTGCTACAGCACCAGTTACCAAGGTTCAGGTAATTGACCTCATTTGATTGGAACAGAAGAGGGAAAAACGGTGCAACAACATTATGTTTTCCCTAAACTGTGAGGGTAAACATTGCAGCGGCCTGACCTTCATTTTCTGCAGCCTGTGTCCCCAGTCTGCGTCAGAGGCCAGGCTCTTACATGCCTTCAGCACATCCTCCTGACCAACCAGCCTGGCCAGGTCCTTCCCAACATTCGCTATGGCCTGAAGAAACCAGACAACAGGGTTGGAAAAGATTTCAAATATCCACTTACCCTGCTGGGCACTGTACATGGTCATTTCTACTTGCCTGAACCAATGTTTGACTTGCCTAAAATATACAAATAAATGGAATTTTTCAATGCAATTTACTTGCAGTGAGGAATGTTGCATGCTGTATTTACCACTGGGTACTTATGAGACTTGAAATAGATTTTTTGACAAAAGGACATTTTCACAGACACTTAAACAGTGAAACAGTCAATGAAATGATGTTAGCACTAGCATGATATGACAGTGATTGAATATATTGCTGGCTTGTATAATTGATGGTATAGTACATCTGTAACAACAGCTAGACTTCAGCACCAAGGGCAGTGCTCCTAGATGAATATAATTTCTCGAACACCTGTTTAATGCCTAGTATAAACCCAGCATCATCAATGTCTTCATCATGGGGAAACACCTGCCGAAACTCTTACACGGTCTGGACAAGTGGACTTGTCCAACTCTGCATACAATGACTAGCTAGCATGTCAACAGAATGTAAAGCCCTAGCTTGCACGAACCTATAAATGTATTGAAACTTGCACTTTGGTAGAATGTCTCCTTAAGGGTCATCTTTACGGATGACATCCCATCTGCAGTTTTCAAATGCTGTGTCAGAAAAGATATCATCTGCAATAGGAAACGTTGACCAAACAAACAACAAAAAATCCGGGTTTAACGCAGACCCGTGTACTTTGCCGATGTGCTGGACTTTTTAAAACTTTCGATGAAGTGAAATCCAAACACCACCCACTCACTTTGAACCCAAACATACAAACCTAGCATAAATTAGAACTACCCAAAACAATACTTTGTTCCAGGAGTAATAAAAAGAAGTATACATTGTGAACTGCAGGTAAGTTTTCTTTTTATGTACTTTTGACTTTCTGTATACTGT